GGCCACAAATTTGAGGCCAGCCTGGGCAACACAGCAAGACCCCCATCTCTAAAAAACTTTAAAAATTAAATTAGTCGGGTATAGTGGCACAGGTCTATAGTCCCACCTACTTGGGAGGCTGAGGGAGGAAGATCACTTGAGCCCAGGAGTTCAAAGCTGCAGAGCTATGAAACCTACCACTGCACTCCAGCCTGGGCAACAGAACTAGTCCTGACTCAAAACAAAACAACAAAAAAAAGAATGACAGAAAATTACAAAGACATCTTTTAAAAAGAGACTCATCTAATACTGGCTGAAGAAATTATAAAGCAATTAAAGGACACTTTTCAGATTGGTCTTAATGGTTTGTTAATTTCAAGAATACCATAAAAATATGCTTAATACATGTTGCTTGCTTGTTAAAAAAAAAGAAAAGAATGACCTGTAAAGCAATTCATTCTCTAGAAATTTAGTCTTAAAAAAAAGTAAATAAAAGGAAACAATGCAAGTTTCTATCAATAGGGAGCTGACTAAATGTTGGTGCAGACATATAATAAATTATAACAGACTGAGTTCATCTTTATGTAATAACATGGAAACTGCTACCAGACATATTATTAAGTGATATCATTTTTGTCTTGTTTAAAAAAACAAAAGCTAAATATGCACTTGAATATATACAAAAACCTTCTGGGGCCAGGCAGAATGGCTCCGGAAAAGAAGGGTGGTGAGAAGAAGAAGGGCCATTCTGCCATCAATGAGGTGGTGACCTGAGAATATGCCATCAACATTCACAAGCGCATCAAGTGGGCTTCAAGACGGGTGCCCTTCTGGCACTCAAAGAGATCGGGAAATTTGTCATGAAGGAGATGGGAACTCCAGATGTGAGCACTGATATTCAGCTCAACAAAGCTTTCTGGACCAAAGGAATAAGAAATGTCTCACACCCTATCCATGTGCGGTTGTCCAGAAAATGTAATGAGAATGAAGATTCACTAAACAAGCTCTATACTTTGGTTATTTAAGTACCTGTTACCACTTTTTTATTTTTTGCTGAGACACGGTCTCACTCTATTGCCCAGGCTGGAGTACAGAGGCTCGATCACAGCTCACTGTAACCTTGAACTTCTGGGCTCAGGCAATCCCTCCACCTTAGCCTCCTGAGTAGCTGGACTACAGGCATGTGCCACCATGAGTGGCTAATATTTTTTTTTAATGTTTTGTAGAGTCAGGGTCTCACCATATTGCCCAGTCTAGTCTTGAAGTCCTGGTCTAAAGCAATCCTCCTGCCTCTGCCTCCCAAATTGCTGGGATTATAGGTGTGAGCCACTGTGCCCAGCCAATTTTTACTTTTTAATATTTACTTTTGAATTTATGTCCTTCTGCAACTTCTTGATATCATGACTACTATTACTTCCATTTTTTTTTTTGTTTTTTAAATTTTCCGTAGAGATGGGGCCTTGCCATGTTGCCTAGGCTAGTCTTGAACTTCTGGCCTCAAGTAACCCTTCCACCTCAGCCTCTCAAAGTGCCGGGATTACAGGCCTGAGTTATGGCACCTGACTTTCACTTCTTTATTTCAATAACTTTTTTTTTTTTTTTTTGGAGACAGGGTCTTTCTCTGTTGTCCAGGCTAGAGCGCAATGGTGTAATCATACCTCACTGCAACCTCAAACTCCTGGGCTCAAGCTATCTTCCTGCCTTAGCCTCCCAAGTAACTTGAAATACAGATGTGTGCCACCACACTCAGCTAAATTTTCTATTTTTTGTAGAGATGGGGTCTCACTATGTTGCTTAGGCTGGTATCAAATTCCTGGCCTCAAGTGATCCTCCTACCTCAGTATCCCAAAGTCCCAGGATTATAGGCAAGAACCACCATGCCTAGCCTGCATCTTGCTTTTTATAGAAAGTAATAGAGATTTTTCTATTTAGTACATATAAAAAGAGAATCTTTTTTTCCTAGTTATACAGTAGTCAAGTATATAGAAAATGTGCAATTTATTTAACCAGGCCCTTCCTAATGGACCTTTAGGACCTTTCACAACCTTTACTATTATAATAAATGCTTCAGGGAATAACCTTATCTATTCATCATTTCAAACATTTAAAAGTATATTGGTGAGATAAATTCCCAGACATGAAATTGCTGAGTCAAAGGGCATGTGCATTTGAAATTCTGAATGATACTGCCAAGTTGCTTTCTACAATTTATACTCCACCTAGCAATGAGTGACTTTTTACCTAAATCCTTAACTGATTAGGTAGAAAATAATATCTCAATACAGTTTAAATTTGTAACTCTCTTACCATAAATAAAGATAACCATTTTTTCATTTGTGAAAAGACACTGGTATTGACTTTTCTAGGTATTAATATTATAATAAGAAAGACTAATTTAATAAAACAAATCTGAAGACTTGCTATTTATTGTTTTATACTATCTGATGAATTTAAGGATTTATATATGAAAATAGTGTTTCATCACTATTAAAACTATAAGCTGCAAAATGCCCATATTTATCACCTATAGCAATATGCTAAATTCTGCAAAGAATTTGTTTCCTGAATTAATCCTAAGTATTCCACAAAAGGGACACGAAAACAAAAAGAATATTAATTTGTAACTTTAAAAATATAGTTTGAACATTTCTCTTACTTACTGTATAAACAGAACATTTTCTCCTGCTTCTGTTTCTAAAAATAAAATAAAAGTTAAATTTGTTCACGGATACACTGATAAAAACATTAGAAAAATTATATAAGGCTATTAACAAGAATTATAAAAAAAAGAAATTACTAACTATCCACTCTACTCTCCACCCTGATGATTCAAGGTATACTTTTTTCTTTTTTGAGACAGAGCCCCGCTCTGTCGCCTGGGCTAGAGTGCCGTGGCATCAGCCTAGCTCAGAGCAATCTCCGACTCCTGGGCTCAAGGGATCCTCCTGCCTCAACCTCCCAACTACAGGTGTATACCACCACGCCTGGCTAATTTCTTTCTATTTTTAGTAGAGGGCAGTGGGGGGAATGGAGGGATACAGTCTAGCTCTTGCCTAGGCTGGTCTCAAACTCCTGAACTCAAGCAATCCTCCCACCTCAGCCTCCCAGAGTGCTAGGATTACAGGCATGAGCCACCACGCCTGGCCTCAAGGTATACGTTTTTTTTCTGAGACAGAGTCTCACTGTCTTGCCTGGGCTAGAGTGCCGGGGCATCAGCCTAGCTCACAACAACCTCAAACTCCTGGGCTCAAGCGATCCTCCTGCCTCAGCCTCCCAGGTAGCTGGGACTACAGGCACAAGCCACTATGCCCAGCTAATTTTTCCTATTTTTAGTTGTTTGGCCAATTTCTTTCTATTTTTAGTAGAGACGG